GGGGGGGGGGGGCGAGCCTGAGATAGCTTCCTTCCTGCCCCCTCCTGCTGAATCGAGTGACCCACCACTCTTCCTGGGAGGCTGGGTCCGGTCCCCAGAGCTGCTGACACAGCAGCTGGTTCTCCAGGTGGCTCCTTCACCTGGCCTCCAGTCACCACAGGGTGCTGCCTCCCTGTCACTGAAGCTTCAGGGTGCTGCTCTGAATTTAGGGTGTGACTGTCCCAGGTGTGCCCCAGGCTTGACTTGAGCTCCCATGAGAGCCATCAGGGGTGGCGGCAGGAGAGGCCGGGGCCCCAGGTTTCAGATGCATTCAAGCTGGAAAGGGAACTCAGCCTAACCCACCAAAGATCATTTTTCGTAAGTGCCGGTTAGGGCCCCGAATGTGGGGTGGCAACTGCACATGGGGCCACCCCAGGGCTGTGGACGGACAGCCCAGCTGGGCTCCCGGCAGCCAGGGGGCACTCGCAGACCGTCACTTCCCTCGGGGGACTTCCCCGGAGCTTGGCCTCGTGGCCTCTCCTGAGTGTGGGCCAGCGAGAGGGTGACTAGACTGACTAAGTCCAGGGAGCCCGGGGCCAGGTCCCTCCATCACCCGCACGCCGATGTGGCAGCGAGAGTGATGGGCGGGGACCTGCCGCTGGCCCTGGGGTTGGTCCAGCCAGACCTAAGCCCTGGCATTTCCCCGATGTGGTCCAGGAGGCTGTGCCCCCGCCCGCCCATGTCCAGTGACTCTCACCCCTGTAGGTTGTGCTGCTTTTTGTAGCCTGGGTCACACATCCCTGTCCCTGTCCTTCCCCAGGATGACCAGGGTGGACCTGAGGAACTACCTTGAGCGCATTTACAGTGTGCCCGTGGCTGCGGTGCGGACGAGGGTGCAGCATGGTGGGTACTGGGGCTGGGCTGCTTCCTGCTGCATGCGTGGGTCCCCCCAGGTCACGTGGGCCACGCCACTCCATGCCACTGACCCACGTCACCTCGGCCACTCCGTGGGTCTGGTTCTTAACGCAGGAGGAAACAAGTGGGGGGTGCTCAGGTCACCTCCAGGGTCGCACTTCTCGAGGGGCAGAGCTGGGCCTGGGCCTGAGCGGAGCCAGTGGGCTGGCCCCACAGGCTACTCCGAGCTCTGCCGAGGCACTTTCTTTGTTTATCCCCCTAACCCTTCCCCGCTCCTTCCTGGCGACCCCGGCTCCCTCCCCGGGAATCTGAGGACCTTCGGCTGCTGCTGTGCTGATCGAGAAGTCGGTTTCCTGAGCTGTTTCAGCCACGTTGGGGTTTTAGCAAACAGCAGGGACTCAGGCCCGGCTCTTGCTCTGCGAGCACAGCCTGTAAACCCAGAGCAGCCACCTTCGGGGTGCGAGGGGCTGGCGTCTGCAGGCCGGCGGACTCTTCCCGGTGGGTTCCTGGGTTAGTCGGACCTAAAATGTTGAGCTGGCAGTCATGTTTCTGTCCCCCCAACAGGCTCCAACAGGAAGAGGGACCACAGGAATGTCAGGGTGAAGAAGCCAGACTACAAGGTGGCCTACGTACAGCTGGTGAGAGCCCGGGGAGCAAGCCTGCGCTAGGGTGCGGGACGCGACCGGCAGTGACCTTGCCGGGGGGGCCCTGTTTGTGCCGCCGGGGGGCCCAGGAAGGCCTTGAGGGGCAGGATCCAAGGTCCACTGCGCTTGGTTCTAATCCACAATGAAACCCGCGAGGAGCTGGGGTTCAAAGCGCAGTTAAGCCAGTGGGAGGAGACGGGCTGGGGCACTTTGGAACTTCTCAGGGGCCACCCTTGTCGAGCCTTTGAACTTTGAACGTGCTGTGGGCAAAGCAGGCCCACCCAGGCCCAGGGGATTTGGGCTCTGACAGAAACCAGATCGCGCCCGAGCCTCAAAGGCTGCCTGCCTCGGGATGGCCTGTGCTCGGATGGTTCCCAGGCAGGGAGGCAGGCCTGCCACGGGGTGCTAGTCCCCGCGGGGGCCCCTCCCCTGCACACTGGGTCGTGGACACCGGCACAGCCCCCGCCCAGGTTCTCACTGTGGCCCCTGCCTGGCCAGGGGCTCCGGGAGGAGGGTCTGGCCACGTGAGCCTTTCCTGACCAAGCCTAGGGCTGTGGACGGTCAGACGCACGCCTCGTACCCCTTTCCCCACCCTCCCAGTGAGCCAGCCCGACTTGCGAGCTTCTCCGAGGTGCTGTTCACAGACACCCAGGTCCCACCGGGGGTCCCCAGGCAGGGTCTGCACCATCGCTCGGTGGGAGCTTCCCAGGGCCGGCCCCGCTCGAAGGGTCCATGGACTGCTGTTTGAGACCTGGGAGTGGGGGGGATTCTGCAGTTTGTCCAGCGTCTGTGTCCGCGGCCCGGCGGAGCGGCCCGCGGCGGGCGGCTGGCCGCTAGATGGCAGTAGCGTTGTTGCGAAGCCTGGGGCCGGGGACCTATTTCGGGCTTCAGGAGGCGGTTTGTGAAGGGCCCCCGAGTTAGCGTGGCAGTTTTCTGAAAAACAGTCACAGCTGTTGTCCTAAACGGGGGGCCCCCGTAATTATTTGGCCTAATATTTGCTGTGCATAAAATCAGCCAGCGCAGGGGGGGAGCGGCTCTGGCCTCAAAGACGCCTGTGTCCTCTGTGTTGGGTCCGGCCATCCGTCTTTGTCACGGCGGGCTGGTGGACGGCCCATATGTCCACATTCGCCACGAGGCCCTTCACAGGAGAGCTATAGTTACAAGTGGCTTTTGAGTCATCCGAGCCCCGCATTTTTCCCTGGGCCCCCACCCCCACCCCACTCATGAAAACTGAACTGAGCCTGGCTTAGATCTGGCGTTTGCAGCTGCCTCTCCCGTGCCTTTGTGAACCCCGGACCGGGAGACGCAGGCTGCCCCCCTGGGAGCCCGGTGTCCCCTCCGGGCACAGCTCCTGCTGCTCCAAAATTACATTTGTAGCGCGCCCCCTCCGCCCCTCCAGCCCCCAGAGCCTTCATATCTGTGCCCGGCCTGCAAACAACAAGGACGTGGGGCCCCTGCCCTCCGACGGGGTCCCTCCTCTGTCCCCAGCTCGGCGGCCGAGGCTGACCATCCTCGGCCGGCCTGTCCCTTTGGGCCCCCCTGGGGGCTTCTCAAAACAGAGCTAATTATAAAGCACAGAGGGTCCATCAGAAAGACAAATGAAATCAGCAGATTTATTTTGAGTTGGCTGCTGCAGAAAAGCTGGTCCCACTGGGTGGGAGACCCACATTTTTTCCCCTCCTCTGACAACCTGATAAACATCTCTCGGGCCCCAAGTCCGAGCTCCGGCGAGGGCCTCGGTGGCCCACACAACAAACGGAGCGTTGACCTGCCGCGCGGAGCCCAGTGTTTACACAGCGAGCAGGAATGAATGGCCCCGGCCACAGTGGGGGCCCAGCGGGAGCCGGCTCGCAGACAATGGCCCGGGGGGCTCCAGGATTGCAGTCTGGGCCGGTTTCTTCACTTTTATGACATTTCCCTGCTTTCCTGTACTTTTCCGCAATCAGATTGCTCTCTCCTCTCTGGAAGGCTGGAGGGGGTTTTGTTTTTTGAAAGTACAAGGTGCGTTCTCTAGAGCGGGGTTCGCGGTGGGTCCCGTACCCCGGCCCGGCCCGGGCGAAGCAGAGGATCCCTTGCACCCGCGTCTTCCGTTGCGTCCTGGGCTGCTGCAAACTGCCATCTTTGTATTTACATTTAAAATTTCATTCTGGGTTTCTCCCCCCTCAGAAGACCAGCAGAATCACCCCGAGATATTAAACACGAGCCCCCCTGCTCTGGGCGGCCAGCCCTGCATGTAAACCATGACCCTTCGGAATTTTAAAAAAAAGGAAGGGAAAAAAAGTTTTGAAACGTGTAAGATAATCCTCCCGTGGGCTGGCTACCGAGGGCGCCGCGGCTGCTTCCCATCACCGAGGGCCCGCGCCCCTCGCCACGTGACCCGAATGTATAAGCCTGGCGTCCTCGGGGGTGCGCGGGCAGGGTCAGCCCGCACTTGGCCGCCTGCCCACATCCAAATGTCTTCACAAAACCAGGGTCTACGAGAACCAAGCTCCCCTTACTGATTTCACGGACTAGAACTTCCCAGATACGTGCCATCCCCCCCTTTCCGTCTAGGGCGCCCTCTTCTCCCGCCCTTGTCTAGGAGCTGGGGTCCTGCCTCCCCCACACTGGGGGCTGGCTCCCCGGTGCTCAGCCTGGGTTTTGGGGGGACATAGACCCGCTGAGCCTTGAGCAAGACGTAAAAGCCTGGATGGGAGGCCGCCCTGCTGAACAGACTCAGGGCATTTCTTTGTGTGTTGTTTGCGTTTGAACGGCAAGGCTGTGCTGGAAGGGGTGGTCTCCGGTGGGGGGTGGAGGCCGTCAGGTATTTTGGGTGCAGGCGGTTTCAGGCGACCCCACACACTATGGAGACAAGTTTCCCTGAGCCCTGCTGCAGGCCGCCCTGCGGACGCCCCTAAAGAGACAATGCAGGCAGGGCGGGGGCAGAGCCTCACTGCCTGTCCCGCCAAAGGCCTGCTCCAGGGGTTTCTTTTTGCCGCAGGGACCTCACTTGGGGACGGGGAGATGCGTGTCTGCACTGGGGGCGCGGGGTGGGAGCTGAGCCCGGGGCGGAGTGGGGGGGTCCTGTCCACGTGGCGTGTGGCTGAGCTGGAGCCTACCCGTCTCCCAGGCACACGGACAGACCTTCACGTTCCCAGACCTCTTTCCCGAGAAAAAGCGGAGCCCCTCTGGAGAAGACAGCGTCCAGGAGGAACTCCTGGAGGAGCAGCGGAAGAGGCAGAGCCGTGACCCCCGGCGCGGCGGTGTCCCCGAGTGGTTCGGCCTGTGACGGGCCAGCCGGCACGGTGCGGGGCCCACGGCTTAAATAAAAGCGCTGCGTGTGCACATCGGACCCTGGCTCTGTTCCTGTGTCCCCAGGTCTCTGCGCTCGCTGGCCCCGGGTGCGCCCTGCTCCCCCACCTGTGCCCAGGGCAGCCCGGGTGCCGCTCTGGCCCACACAGTCCTATGTCTAGTCCTGGTCTCTTAAAGCTGGGACAAGGCTGGGACGCCCATCACGGTGTGGAAATGAGATGCCCCTGGAAAGAGCCCCCAGAACCTAATTCTGAGCGTCCACGCTGAGGCTGGCGTCCAGGCGGGCTGCGGGGAGGGGGTTTCATTGGCCCCAGACAGGGTGTTGGCTGGAGCGTGTGTACCAGCCGGGAGCCCGTCTAAGCTGAGGCTCCAGTTTGGCCGGATAGGTGGGCGCTGAGGGGGCAGGGCTGCAGAGGGACCCGAGGGAGGTGGTGTTAGGAGACACTGGCGCAGGGCGAGGCCATGGAGCTGGTGGCAGGGGTGGGAGACGGCCTGTGCCGCGGAGACCAGGAGGAGGGAAGGGAGAGAGCCCTGCAGACCCGCAGCCGGAGGGGCTGAGTGTCCACGGGGCCTGCTGCCCTGGGCCTCGAGTTCCTGAGGTCTGTCCACAGCTCTGCTTGTCTGTGAATCTGAGCTCGCCCTCAAAGCCCCGCTGGGCAGCCTGCTGCACCCTGGACAGTGGAGCAGGAGCAGGGTGCGGGGAGCCGGGACTGTGGGATCGCGTCTGGGTGTCGGGTCGGTGCCGGGAGAGGTCTGGCCTCCAGATCCGGGCAGCACGCAAGGGAATCGGCCACGTTGCTGCCCGGCTTCGGCCTGGGCCCCCGCGCTTCCCCTGTGGGGGCTTGGAGGGGGGAGGGCAGCGGGGAGCTGGCTCCACTGCCCCCACAAGGGACCCCCGACAGGATGGCGGCAGGCACCCCTCCGCCTCCAGGGTGAAGGTCCGGGCAAACCCCGCCCTCCGGTGTTGATTTAAGTGAGGGGAGGGTCCGGAAGCCAACCGGAGACCGAGGCAACGGTATTTTCCTTAGAGAAATAATTCATGGGGCCCTGCGGCCCTGAGGACCCCAACTCAAGGCCGGGAGAGGAATCTCATCCTTCACCGCCTGCCCTTCCAGCCCAGCCGCCCCCGCACGGCTCCTCCCATGGGCAGCCTTGGCCCGCAGACCCTCCCCGCCCGCGCCCCAGGGGCCCCCTTAGGCCTGGGAGCCTGCTGCCCCCGAGGTGGACGGCCCCAGCCCAGCGCCCTCT